ATGCTGCCTAGCCAGCGACGTCCTCATCCCATTAATGAATAAAGGAAGAAAATCCAATAAGCTGAAAATTTGAAGTCAAGTTAGTTCTGTTCCTCCAGTAATGGAGGCATGGAGCTTGCTGCTGACCTTGAAGAAAGGAGACACCGGATATAAAAAAACGTCTGTGGTGCAGACTTTGCAATAAAATCAGAGTGTTGCAGGAAAAGACAGAGCGGGTTAGAAAGTTGTAGCCCTTTTTTGCTCTTCACTTTAATTGTTTTTCCTGAAAGTGCAACAAATGACTAAATTTTGGATTGAAGCTAACAGCAATGTGATTAAACTTTCAACAATTTATTGTAATGTATTTTCTTAATTCCACATGTGACAAATATGTTAACTTTTCTAGATCAGTGTTTAGTAGTAATTACGAAGTCATGCTTGTTATTATCCCAGTTTTCCTCATTCGCGAGTATGTTTTTGAAGGAAGCGGTTCTAAGGAAGAGTCACCAGACCTGAAATGATAACTGTTTTTTCTTCACAGATGCTGCCAGACCTGCTGAGCTTTTCCAGCAACTTCTGTTTTTGTAGTTATTTTCCTTTGACTATTTTTTATTCTAATAGACTGCTATTGCTTCCTGCTGGCCTCTTCTTGTTGCTGAAACCTTTATGCTGACCCTCTGAAACCTGGAGATAAAATCTAGATAGATATGTGTGTATAGGCAAAACCATATGCCGATTATGCAGCAAAAGTATGCCACCACATATTGGTAAAGACAAGAAAAAAGGGGTGCTGCATATTAAGGTATATATTGATATATTGTATATTAAAAGTTCCTCAGGTTAACGTACTAGAGCCAAACATCTTCAGCTGCTTCATCAACCCAATTTGCTCTGGAATAAGGTTAGAAGTGGGGATATTTGCAAATGATTGTACATAGTTCAGCACCACTCATTACACCTCTGATAATAAAGCAGTCCATGCCCATTTGTGGTAAAATCTGGCAGCATCCAGGCTTGGAGCAACAAGTACCAAGAAAAATACAAGTGCCAGGCAAACGTTCATTTCCAACAAGAGAGAATCCAGCCATTGCTTGTTGATATTCAACGGCCTTACCATCACTGAACCCTCTACTGTCATCCAGGGTCAAAATATTGTTTTTCTCCCCCCTCAGACTCTCCTTGAGTTTTCTCATTGGCTAATTTTTGATTTTCTGGATCTACATTTCCGTTTGTACTAACTCCTTCATTAGGTGAGATACTGTCATGTAGTAAAATTAATTTCTGCATTTGTGTTGTCAAATGAGATATTTAGACTCACCCGGAAGCCGAACTAGAAAAATTAATCAATATCTTCAATAAGCATTGACCTGACATTAAACATAAAGCCATGACAAACAAGGAAAGCTTACATTTCCTAGATACCCAGTATTTAAATTAGAACAAGACAACAGACATGGCTTAGCATGAAAAATTTTCTTTCATTGACTGACGTACACTTCATTAAAAGGACGTCAATTTGCGATGATATATTACCTGTGGTTTCAGGGTATCCTGGCTCCCAGTTAACTAAGTATTTCTTTGTTAACAGGCTCCCCTTGACAATAGCCCTCCCTCCCCCCACCTCTACAGTCACTTGCTTCTCCCCTAGCCTCTTTCCAGCCACCCATTTTGTTCCTTACCTGGCAGACTGGCTGCTCCCCAGTCTGACCCAGCAGACTTGATCCAACCAGCCTGACCTGGCAAATGTGCTGCCTCCCTCCACGTCCCCATCTGGCAAGTGTGTGCTCTCCCTGAGCATTTCCATCCTTATGCCCCAACACAGCTCAGATTAGCACCACTTCTCCAATCTCAGAGTCTTCTTGCTGATCGGTTTCGCCTGTCATCAGTAAACATGGGCAGGGCGAAAGAAGGGCCATGTGATTGGAGGAGAAATTCCTTTCAAGTGGTGATGGAATACTCTTGCCTGCAGCTCCAACAACACTCAAGAGACCTGATGCCATTCGTAACAAAGCAGCCCGATTGCTTAGCACCCGTTCCACCACCTTCAATGTTTACTGCCTTCACCAGCGATGCACAGTAGCAGCAATGTGTGTACCATCTACAAGATGCACTGCAGCAACACACCAAGGCTCCAACGGCAGCATCTTCTAAACCCAGAATTGCTACCACTAGAAGGACAAGGGAAGCAAATACAAGGGAGCGTCACTACCTGCAAACTCCCCCTCGAACAACACTCCATCCTGATGTAGAAATGGATCCCCGTTCCTTCACTGTCATTTGGTGAAGATCTTGATACTCCCTGACAGCATTGTGGGTGTCCTACTGCAGCAGTTAGTCATTGTCATAGTCTCAGTGTCACACAGCACGGAAACAGACCCTTTGGTCCAACTTGTCCACGCCGACTGAGTTTCCCAAACCAAACTGCTCCCACTTGCCTGCGTTTGGCCCATACCTAAGCCTTTTCCATTAGAGTCATAGAGTCACAGAGCATGGAAACAGACCCTGCCGTCCAAATTACCCATGCCAACCAGATATCCTAAATTAATCTAGTCCCATTTACATGCATTTGGCCCATATCCCTCTAAACCCTTCCTATTCATGTACCCATCCAGATGTCTTTTAAATGTTGTAATTGTACCAGAGTCCACCACTTCCGCTGGCAGCACATTCCATACACGCACCACCCTCTGTGTGAAAAAGTTGCACCTTATATTCCTTTTAAATCTTCCCTCTCACCTTAAACCTACGCCCTCTAGTTTTGGACTCCCCTAATCTGGGGAAAAGACCTTTGCTGTTCACCCTATCCATGCCCCTGATGGTTTTATAAACTTTTTTAAGGTCAGCCCCCCTCAGCCTCCGATGCTCCAGGGAAAATAGCCCCAGCCTACTCGGCTCTCCCTATTGCTCAAACCCTCCAACTCCGGCAACATCATTGTAAACCTGAGTTCAGTATTACCTTCTCCAGGGCAGTTGTGGATGAGCAACAAATGGCAGTCTAGCCAGCAATGTTCACATCTAATGAATGAATAAATATGTAAATAAATAAATAAAGTGAATAAATAAATAAACATTACTTTTATGTTGGATAATATTTCTGCCTATATTGTGACCTGACATTCCTGCTACAACTTTTTCGGTGCAATTCCTGCGATACTGGTAGGAAAGAAAGTAGAATATGAAGAGCTATCTCTGTCTACTAATCACCATCAGGAGTTTTCACCATTGCACACATTTGCAGATCTTTGAGTAGGCAAAAAAATTTAAGCTCAAACCATCAGGCACAATGCTCCTATTAGGTACATTTTGAAGGATTTTCAGTTATTTCTTCGAAAATTTACTGAGCAATGGACTACTGCGCCCCAGTCTAACTAACAATGCTATACTTTTTTTAAAGCAATTTTCAGGAATTGAAAATCGAGTTGCTCGCTGTTGGAGGATTGACGTGATTTAAAAGGATTTTTGCAGCTATTTTTTCAGCTGCTTTAGTTACCCTTTACCCTTAAACATATCTGAGGATTATTTGAAGTATTTTTAAAGAACATAAATTTTAAAAAGCTGCCCAATTGCATTGGCTTATGGCAGATTTTAGCCTTGATGTGCAAATACGCTTGAGTGGAAATCGAGAAGGCAGAAGCACCTTTCAAAATACATGCAGATTTGAGGGCAAATTGTACTGGAATCACTGATAATACGCAAAGCAGAAACTCACTGTATTGTGTATGGATATATTATAAGAATTTATTTGTAAAATAAATTTCAAAATCTTGTCACACAAGCAAACAAAAACTTTTATCATCTAATGCTCCTTTAACAGACTGTATATAATCTCCCCTCTCATTGACTTCCATTTGATACGTTCAGATAAAATATTCCTTGATTCCCAAAAGCAATCAACAGCGGTCCAAGTTATTTATCCATCCTTACATTTGCACTATCAAGTCTTGAGCTGCAGTTTTCTGGATAGAATTTCTTCTTCTAGCCAAAACCTAGGAATAGGGAAAGCCATAGTGTCGCCCAATACATTTTGGTTTTCGACATGTACACCTCCTAAATGATTTCGCTGACAGCAGATTAGTTTACAAGGTCATTCTCTACCTCAGCCTGACTATCTCCTGCCGTTTTGCTCAGCGTAAGGAACTAGAGAGAAGGCAGCAGTTTGAGTAATCAAAACGTAACTCAAGACTGAAGGCGTGAGGTAAGGTCGAAAGGGAACGTAGCCTGACTTTGTCACTTCGCTGTGTGAAAACAAAGACTGAAATCCAATATGAAACCCTTGGGGGAGATCGAGCTTTCTCTTTCTGTTGAAAAGCACTAGATAAGAGTGACACTGGTCGTGTGCCAGGACTTGAGTTCAGCATCACATTGTACTATAATTAATCATCTAACATCAGTTGTTAAACAAAATCAATGCTTTCCAAGAAATTGTGACTAAATGCAGCAATCCTGTCTTGTAGAGCATTGTTCAACTGTTAAGAGTCCTGAGTATTAAAAGGTCAGGTTTTATCCAAGAGATTTGACTCCGTTCTGCACTGTACACCCAACTCTCAGCAGTGTTTGAGACCATTAACCATCTTTGCTTTAACACCACGACCTATCACCTAACTGGATCATGCTATATGCTTGGTTTGTTAATTAATGGGGCATTTCGTTTAGTAATCTCCAAAATAGCTGAGTTATAATTGGAGTGTGGTTGGGTGTTTAGAAGCTGCAAATGTTTAATTCATGCCAAGAGAAATATGTTGTCTTGGGTTTCGATGCAGGAAATGTGTAAGAACAAATGTTGCCAGCATTCGCTGTACTGGATGTAATGGAGTTAGGAACAATCGCAGTTAAATCAACACATCTTAACGTGACAAATATGTTGACTACGATAATAATTTCATCACCTAAGTTTTTCACAATTATAGGTGCCACATAACAGATCCATAAGCTTAAGCAGTGCTTCCAAACTCAAATTATAACTAATTCAATAGGACCTTCTGTTTCTGTGAATTCGAACAGCGTTGCAAGTGTCAGAGGAATACCATCATGGTCAGCGTTCCCTTGATATTATATACCAACCTGCTTCAATCGTTTATTGCCATTCCTTCATTATCGTTGGGCTAATTTTGAGAAATTCTCTATTTAACACCATTATCAGTACATTTCCACAAACTTTCAAGATTGCAATGATTCAAAGAGAAGGTCCATTAACTACCTTTCTGGGGCAACCAGGGATGGCTATTAAATATGGCCTCACTAGGGTCAACACATTCCCCAGAACAGAAACTGGACAGATTATGGAAAAATTTCCCACCTCCCCAGCATAATGATTTTTCTCTAATTTCCTAAGATCATACTTTTAAATACAGTTTGTCACAATGATGCAGGAGAAGCCTATTTGAAGTACAATTGGTTAACTTACATCTTTCAGATGTCTGAATGGGCATTGCATCTGAGTTCAATTCGCATCCTCCTTCCACCTGCAGCTGCTTCAGCACAATATCTGAGGGGAGGGTAGTGCGAGTGGGCACTGTGAATGAGTGAAGAGTCAACAGAATGTGAGCGCAGTGACACGGCAAATGAATGCTCTTGGAACCAGGAGGAACATTGGTAGAGCACCTCATGGATTTGGCCTGGGAATTTCTTTTTCTTTTTCACTTCATTCTCAGAGAAGTTTGCATTACTAACAGTTGAGGAAGTCAGTGTCCAGAGTTGGATAGGATGGGCATTAACAAATCTAGTTATCTTTCCCAGTCATCTTCTTCTACCTCGTCAATGAAACAGGGAACTGATCGTTGTGAGGATACCAACACCAGCCTTACATTATACGTTGCTGCCGGTTTTCCCAAACTCTATCAGTGACTGATGAGTGATGCTCTGAAAATGAGGGAATATTTGCCTCTGCTGAATTATTTATGAAATGGACACCCATACTGCTATCTAGAAAACTCTGTTTCTTCCCAATGGTAGTTCTCATGGTTTTGAGATACGGGATAGAATATGCATTGTTGGTTGACCTGTAAACTCATTTTATTGCTTACAAACAAGTCTCAACTTTCTTTTGGTTCCAACAGACTATAAAATTTGATGAGCAGAAGGACAAGAGCAACAGGTTGAAGGTTTGTTACTTACTGTAGCTCTTATTTAAATATGGTGATACTAATCTGACTCCAGGAATCCTTTATTAGGCACTGTACCCCATAGAAAACCCAAGCTGAAATATTGACTTTCTTGCTGCTCTGATACTGTCAGACTTGCTGTGTTCTTCAGTCTCACACCTATAGACTCTAATAGAATTCCTACAGTGTGAAAACAGGCCATTCGGCCCAACAAGCTGCTCTGAAGAGCATCCCACCCAGACCAGTTCCCCTACAATTCCCATATCTAACCCACCTAACCTACACATCCTGGACACTATGGGCAATTTAGCATGGCCAATCCACCTAACCTGCACATCTTTGGACTGTGGGAGGAAACCGGAGCACCTGGAGGAAACCCACGCAGACGCGGGGAGAATGTGCAAACTCCACACAGACAGTCACCTGAGGCTGGAATTGAACCCAGGTCCCTGGTGCTGTGAGGTAGCAGTGCTAACCACTGAGCCACTGTGCTGCCCTAATGGGGAATACATTGTTTGAAAAAAATATTGAAGCCCAAGTAAATCACAGCAATTAGAACAATTTATTTTTTATTTGTTCATGGAGGAGGGTGTCTCTGGCTGGGCTAGCATTTATTACCCATCTCCAATTGCCCAGAGGCCAGTTAAAGTCAACCACATTGCATCTGGAGTCACATGTAGCTTAGACCAGGTAAGGATGGCAATTTCCTTCCCTAAAGGGCATTAGTGAACCAAGTGGGCTTTTCCTGGCAATCAACAATGGATTCTTTTTTATTGAATTCAATTTCAATAAAGATTCAAATTCCACTGTCTGCTGTGGAGGGATTTGAACCTGAGTCCCCAGAACATTCCCTGGTTCTCAGGATTAACAGTCCAGTGATAATACCACTAGGCTGTTGCCATCCACCTCCACCACCCAACTTGCTGCCAAAAGAAAATAATATCAAACAGGAAAGGAAGTGTTTCCCAAATACTTTTCCCACCGTGACCCAATTTTAAGGCCTGAAAATTGTCATGACCACTCTGTGAGAGCACTGGTGGTGGTGGCCAGGGGGTAGGCGTTGATGGGGGGGCAAGGGGGAGATGGAAGGGTGCCCTCAAGAACAGGGGAGATGGGGAAAAGGGGCGGTCTGTCTGTTACAGTGGGACGTAACAGTCGTAACTCAGTCCGAGCCCCACAGCAGGTTTCGCTGCCTTCCCAAGTGTCAATCAGATTGGCCGATAGGTCTGCGATGTGGGACTTCCTGCCAAGTGATGGAGGAAAGTAGCCAGTCCAGCCAATCAGTTCTGTGGGGGCAGCCAATACCAGGGGCTTCTGTTTCCCGCTAACGCTGTTTGGGTGGTGTGGGGCAGAAATTGGGGAGCACATACCGTGAGGTTTTGGCGCACCACATTTTAGGAAGGATATATTGGCCTTGGAGGGATTGCAGTTTCTGTTTACCAGAATGATACCTGACCTTCAAGGGTTTAACGTACGATCAGAGAATACTCAAACTGATGTTGTATTCCTGGGAATGTAAAAGATTAAGAGGTGATTTGATTGAAATGTTCAAGGTAATAAAGGGAATTTTTTTTTAAAGATTCTTTCATGGCATAGAGGCATCACTGGCTAGGGCAACATTTCTTGCCTGTCCCTAATTGCACTTGAACTCAGTGGCTTGCTGGGCCATTTCAGATTGAAATTATTATTGCGCATTGGCTGGGGGAATAGTCTAAAAAATTAGTGCCAAACCTCTTCAAGGAGTGGAATTAGGAAATAATTCTCAACACAAAGTTTGGAATTCCCTTCTTGCAAATGGCAATTCTGCAATTACTCAAATTAGCAACTTTAAATATGGGATTAATATATTTTGGAGAATCATAAATCCTAACGAATATGTGGCAAAGGCAGGTATGTAGAGTTAAGTCCGTAATTTCCATCAATGGTGGAACAGGCATGAGTTGCTAAATGCCACCTTCTGCTCCAACATGCTCCAACTTGGAATTTGGTTTGTAGCTCTAATTAGGGAGCAGTTACCTGATGGTCAGAAAAACAGCAGATTTTGTTACCCATTTAACATTAATCAGTTGTGACCTGTTGTTTTATACAAAATGGGACATTCATTCTACTGCATCTGGAATGCAGGGACAGACCAGTTGGTCAAGGTGGCCAATGTTGGTGTTTCTGCTACCACACAGATGTCCTCCCACTCTTTTGCTTCTTCTCAATTCCTTGCCAGGTTTATGTTATGTTCATAACCTCTAGCTTCTTGTTTTAATGCGTGGGCTAGTTGCAGGACTTGCGCAGAATTAAGACACGAGGGGTTTTAAATATCTAGCCAACAATGAATGCTGACACCCTTTCTGCAGGTTGATAGGAAAAGGAAACCGTCCATGTTGGAGATTTTACCACATACTGTATTTAAGTAGATAATTTTGCCTTCAACTTACACAGTTTCATATGTGTTCTTGTTTTTACCAGGATGATTACATCCCCTATCCCAGTATCGATGAGGTAAGTCTATCTTAAACTCTCTAAGAATATATTCAGAGAGGCTTGCTTTTAGAAAATGAGGGAACTCATGAAGTATTTACAACTATCTAATTTGTAGATATTTCATAATATCTAGATCTTGGCGTTGATTGATTTTACCATTTCATCCCCTCCCTTAATCAGTACAGAATTAAGGTTTATGGGAATAAGGCAGGAAAGTGGAGTTGAGGTTGACCAGATGAGATATGACTTCATTGAATGGTGGAGCAGATTCAATGGGCCAAATGACCTACTGCTGTTCCTATGTCCTAAGCTCACTCAAAAGTTTCAAATGTCTCTTACGCCACTAATTTCTTTCTTCACGTTTAAGATTGCCATCTGTGGGTTTTGAGCAAATCACAAGTTTTGGTATTTGCCATAAAGTGGTCAACTGAAATTCATTTTCCTGCCAGATGTCCCTCATTGGGTGTTGCAGGGCGCATATTATGAGACCAGAATGAGAAACATTTGAATGATCAAAATTCACCAAAGCCCCAGTGATTTTCCTTCAGGGGACGCGGAAATGTTTCCTTTCTGGACAGGGTCACTTGCCTCCTCCCAGCCTTTTGCAGCCAGTCTAGAAAATTTGCCCTTTGCAATGGGAAGCTTGAGGTGTACTTTTCTGTCAAGGTGGTATCCCTATCCAAAAAAAAAATCCATCCTGGCTGCACCTGGTTGGCCAAATAGTGGGGTAGATCAAACACCACTTGCCTATTTTCAGAAAATCACTGGGTTTCTACAATGGATAACGGGTCCTCCTCATCAGGTTAATGGCCAGGCAGTGGTAGTCAATAAATGTGTCCCTGAAACATCCTTCAGTAAAACTCTTCAGAGGAGAATTAAAATGCTAAACCATCTGTGAACACCCAGCTTCTGGAAAGGATGCCTGAGGATTAATGAATGGAATGAACACTATGTTATCCAGGTCATCGAGAAACAAGGACCATATCAGTCCATTATCCTCCCCCAGTTTGGAGGCTACTGGATTGAGGGAATGGAGAATGTCACTACCCCAACGTCATCTGAGAGTAGTTTTTGTGAGGAGGACGCGGTGGAGAACCTGAGTCCCAGCACCTTTGGGTACAAGCTGGAATGCAACAGTACCGCCAGAGCCTACAGGAAGCACTTCCTCAATAAGGTCAGTGAAACAGGAAGTGATTGGATTGTCATGCAGCTTGCCTGCTGTACACAATGAAATTATCAATCAAAAAAAAAACAAGCAGTACCAATCATGTTTTGTTAAAGTTCTTGGAATCATTTTGAGAGCGATTGCCTTAGCTATTAATATTGCTACCAAGTTTTGATTTGCAAGTCTTGTGAGATGATCCCATCTGCAGTGAAATGTCATTTCTGTGGTGCTCCAGGAATGAACCAGCAGCTGGTCAGGAACTAGCGCAGGATTAGGAAATATATAAGACATATATGTTAGGCTTGAAAGGACAAATGGCCTACTCCTGTTCCAAAGTCATATAGATATGCATAAGAATTGAATTGAGTTGAATTAGCTTTATTGTCACATGTACTCAAACAAGTACAATGAAAAGTGTATAAGTTGCCACCTACAGCTCCATCTTAGGTACGAGTGTACTTAAGTACAATCCTTAGTTACAGAATAGAGAAATGAAGAAACAAGTGTTACGTTATAGCTATACGCAGTATGACCATAGGTCAGAAAAAACAAGAAGCAAAGTTAAAGCAACAAACATCAGAGTCTGTCTCCAAGGTCCCACCACAACAGACCAGAGCAGGGGGACTCCATGTGGTCTGACTACCGGCTGTATCTCGCTCCGCACCGGGCCACTGCTGTACCCTCCGCACCGGGCCTCTAGTCGCTGATGTATCCCCTTCGGAGGCTAGAAGTCGGAGGCTGGGACCGGGGTGGGAGAAGGGAGGAGAGAGGGAGAAAAGGAGAAAAAGAATGGGCGGAACAGAGAAACTTTGGAGCTGGAGCATCCTACTCTGCTGCTGTCGTACCAGAAATCGAAGTTCCATTATGTGGAGTGGATGTTAAAGAAATTATTTGGCAACAGTTAATTGAAATCGAATGTGTATAAATAACATTGCTGTATCTTGTTTTATTCAAAATGATTGTTTTCACCTCATCAACATGAGGGATGGAGCATTGTTCACATTTAGCACATTGCATCAACAGCAACCATGTTTCAGACAAGTAGAGCTACTCCAAATGCCGCACAACAGTTAGCACAAGCTCAGCATAGTTTACCCTGAAGCTACACAACTACTTATCTCTTTACACACATTCCTTTCCTGAACTATATTTTTGGCATTGGACATAATTATAGCCTTTTCTTGTGAAAATTCCTGAGCGCAGATCTTGTCACTCAAGATATTTGTTCAGAGTCCATCCATGAGTTGAAGGATACTAGCCGCGTGATGTAAAAAAAATCTTAAACTCATACGGCATACAGGAGGCCATTCAGCCAAGCATGTCTGTGATAGCACTTCGAAAGTGCCCTTTCCCCATAGACATTTGATAGGGTACATTTAACCTTTTGTTCTCTCTTTGACCAGATGAGGCTTGGGTTTCTTTGTTTAATGCTCTGGAATGTGCTGCCTGCAGGATGGAAGAAGTAAAAGTCAGAATTAGGTTTATTGTTGGTTGTACTCAAATACACAGAAAAGTTTACAAAGTTGCCCCACACAGCACCATCTCAGGTACAAAGTACCTAGGTACAAATTTTAGATACAAAATTGAGAAATAAAGTAGAGGTTACATTACCTTACAGTTATTCATAGTATAAGTTAGAAATGTAAGAAATAAGGGTAAAGTGATAAACGTTACAGTTTTTCTATAAAGGGCTTGAGTAGATCAATGCGGGGGGCTTCTACACGTGGTCTAACCAGGCTCGTAAGCCGCTGACCACCCACATCAAACGCCAGTACAACAATCATCCCTGTTCTGCTCCTGGCACACTGGCCATCCTGCTCCACTCAATCTCAAAAGTGCTTTCAACAGGCTATTGAATAAGCACTTGAAGGGGAAAATTTGCATGATGAAAGAGAAACCAGACATAATACAAATATTGGCAATAAATGTTTAACTCATTTATCCACAACAACAACCTCAGAGATACTCAAACCACAATGAAAGATCACCTAGTTTCTACTTTAAAGTTCCGTGTTCAGTGAGCAGGGATTGGTTTTTTTCCTGGAAAACCTCTGCATCCATTCGATGATATCTTCTTTTGTTCATGTCTCTTCATGAGACACTTGAACAAATTGCTAACACAGCTGATTTACTTCTTACAGACAACAAGAACTGCAGATGCTGGAGTCTGAGATAACACAGTGTGGAGCTGGAGGAACACAGCAGGCCAGGCAGCATCAGAGGAGCAGGAAAGCTGACGTTTTGCGTTGGGACCCTTCTTCAGAAATGAAGAAGGGTCCTGACCCGAAACGTCAACTTTCCTGCTCCTCTGACTTACTTCTTAACCTTGATTCCTTGAACACCTCATCTATAGCCTTAGATTTCCGAACGTTCACTTACTGATACCAAATGTTTCTTTTTCTCTTGTCCTTATTCTTATGGAGACTGCGAACCTGTACTGCCACACTATAGGTTCTTTCTCCCTGATTGGCCTGCTCTAATCTGAAAGAAACCTGCACACTCATTGACTCTCTGTATGGTTCTTCCTTTCCAAAGGAAACTGTTTCTGTCTCTGTCTCCCTGTGCTATAGGACAACAGCATAATCTTTTCTTCTCTTCCACCCTTAACTTTTAAAAGCACTGAACTAGTCACTTTAAGGGTCCTTAAAAGATTTGTTTAAATGCATCCAAGTACATTTCCAGACACCCCTCACTACTCACAGATCTTAACAATGAAGTTAAATCCTTCCTTTCTTAACAAAAGCACAATAGAAATATGAATCAATCTTAAAGCTATACAAATTTTTGTTGACATTAGAACCTAACTGGGCAAATAATAATACACCACATGTACTGCAATGGTTCAGGAAGGCAGCACACAGCTTCTCAGGGTAGTGTCCTCAGCCCAACCATCTTCATCAATGACCTTCCCTCCATCATAAGGTCAGAACTGGGATGTTCGCCAATGATTGTACAGTGTTCAGCACCATTCGTGCCTCCTCAGATACTGAAGCAATCCATATCCAAATGCAATACGATCTAGATAATATCCAGGCTTGGGCTGACAAATGGTAAGTAACATTTGCCCCACACAAATGCCAGGCAATGACCATATTCAATAAGAGACAATCTAATCAGTACCCTTTCACATCCAATGGTGTTGCCATTACTGAATCCCCTACTATCAATTTTCTGGGGAGGTTACCACTGACTAGGAACTCAACTGGACCTTCCACATAAACACAGTGGCTACAAGAGCAGATCAGAAGTCAGGAGTACTGTGGCGAGTCACTCACCTCCTGACTCCCCAAGCCTGTACACCATTTACAAGGCACAAATCAGGAGTGTGATGGAATACTCCCCACTTGCCTGGATGGGCGCAGCTCCAACAACACTCAAGAAGCTTGATACCATCCAGAACAAAGCAGCCAACTTGATTAGCACCACATCTACAAGCATCCATTCCCTCCACCACCAACACTCACCAGCAGCAGTATGTGCTGTCTACAAGAGGCACTGCAGAAATTCCCCAAAGATCCTTAGACACCAACTTGACCACTTTCATCTACATGGAGAAAAGCAGCAGATAGAAGGAAACATCACCACCTACAAGTTCCCCTCCAAGCCACTGCCCAGTCTGTCTTGGAAATATATCATGGTTCCTTCACTATTACTAAGTCAACATCCTGGAATTCCCTCCCTGATGGCATTGTGAGTCCAACCACTGCACACGGACTGCAGCGGTTCAAGAAGGCAGATCACCACCACCTTCTCAAGGGCAACTAGGGACGGGCAATAAATGCTGGCCCACCCAACAACACCTATGTCCCACGAGTGAATAATAAAATCTTCCATGGTCAATAAGTACTGGTTGTGCCACATCCTATTAATCAATAAATGGAAAACAAATGAGTAATGAGAACAGGTTGTTGTCCTCAGGCAGAAATTAATTTATGACGAAACTCCATGGATTACTCCTTCTGTGCTGTGGCTTAGTTAGTAGCACCGTAGTTCCCTAGTTAAGAAGGCTATGGATTTATGTCTCACATCAGAGAGCTGAGCAAAGAAGAAGCTAGTCTGGAACTCCAGTGAATGCACTAAGGCAGTATTAGTGTCGGAATTGTCATCTTTCTGGTGAGATGTTAAATGAGGCCTAGTCTGCTGTTTAAAGTAGTCCTGCCCCAGTGGGGAATTGCTTCTAGACAGGGAAAGGCTCCAGCAGGGAAATGTGGAAACTGATGTTTATGCTAAAGCTATAGATTTACAACAACATCCTTCTAAATCTCTAAGTCTTTTGCTACCTCACTCAACATATGGATATTGGTCTGTTAAATACCAAATGCATTTTGAAAGTATTATGGAATCTGCCTCCAACACCCTTTTGGACAGTGCATTCCAGATCAAGACAGCCAAGTGAACAGCTACATTCTAGCATTTGCGCAAGTGTACACTCGATCACATGACTCCTGTACTTCAAGCCAGTGTTGGAAGCCATTCCTCCTCATCGATGAGCAATGCCAGGGGAGATCCCCAAATCATGCCTGTGCAATAACATGCCAAAAAAAAACCTAGGGAGGTATGTGAGATGAAAATCTTTGCACACCATGTAGATAAACAAAAATTAAATCAGCTCAATTAAACATGTGCGGGCGTGCAGAAAGACAGCTGCACAGACCTGATATATAATTGTGCGACCTCAAGTTGCCAACAGATTATTGGGAAATCCCTGCTTTTCCACAACAAACCATATTTGCTTGTCAGTCAAAAGATATTTATCTTGAGATTAGAAAGAATGAAAAGCACATCCTTTAATGTAATACGTATCTGGGGAGGTGACCTCCTTAATTCAGACCGGAACAAACTCTTTAGCAAGATATGAATAACACTTTTCATTCTTTTAGGAGCATTTGAATTTTTATACCTCGTGCAGTGTTATTGGAAACCTGGTGATTTCAGTCAAGTATGACGATACTGATGGGCAAGAGTATTTGAGGATCATACTCAGGTAACAGAAGCAAGCTCTGCTGTGTGATACACAAGTGCAACAAGACCATGTCATTTCCTTTAATTCACTAGCAGATCTCCAATGAATTTGCCCACAGTAAGCCAACAGATCTACTGTTTTATTCTGCATGTTCATGGGGTAATGCTACTAAGTGTGTCAGCTGGTTGCAAGTGAGCCTAGGCTTGACATGCTTAGTAGCAGTTATGCCAGTAAGCCAAGAGGTTGTGAGTTCAAGTTCCATTCCAGGAGAACTCAGTGCAGATGCTCCTGTGCAGTGCTGAGGTTGTGCTGCATTACCGAAGGGACAGTCTTTTGGAAGAGATATTAAGCAGAGGCTTTGTTAGCCATCTGACATGGGCATCTGATTGTTTCAAAGGAGACAGGGCAATTGTACCTGGTGTTTAGATTAATATCGCTGAACGAACATCACTAACAAAAGGTCATACTGCTGTTTGTGGGAGCTTGCTGTGTGCAAATTGGTTACCATGTGTCTTACACTACAACAGTGAACACTCCTCAGAAGCACTTCATGAGCTCTAATGCACTTTGGGAGATGCTGTAGTTGTGAAAAGCACTACATAAATGCAATCCTTTCTCTAAGTTAGATATTAATGCACAGTTGCATTTTTGTGGCTTCTCCATTTAAGAACCGTGCATTCACATGGTTGTAATTTGACGTAAGAAACTACTGCAAAATGGTTTCTTTAACCCAGATTAACAGTAACCTTTGTTATAATGAGCAGTCATGTATTATTACTGAAGCAAGTGATGTTATGAGATGTGACACCCTGTGAGCTTCTATTCTTGCACTGTGTTGGCCGATTGCCCATCTGAATGCCAGGATTTAGCTTTAAAAAGTTGAAGAAGTGGCAGAAACAGGGGTTTCTGAGTGATGACAAATCCTTGATCCTGGCAGGGTCTGAGCATCTCACAAATTTTATGCAACAGGTTTGCAGTCCATCTGTAACCATCCCAAAGCCTGTGCATATTTGATACCTGTATCAGATGGAAAATAGGGTTCTGACAGTCACAGGTTATTTGGTGTTAAACAATTCAACCCCTAATGGGCTATCCTGTCTGTTGACACTGAAGAAGTTGCATGTTTCAATTTTAACCACATACAACTTTCATTCAGACTTCTGTTTTTCTATAGGTCCAAATCGAAAACAATCCATGAGCAGCTCCCACTTGATGGAGTATCACGACTTCCCAGCATTCCACTGATAGCAAAGGTAAGCTGGGTCATTACACTAAATCATTCTGTTCTTTACTTCAATGTTTATTTATAGCCACTGATACCTTTGTCAGACTAATAAATTGCTCCATTGATATCTATTATTGGTTTATAGTTATTTCCAAGGGTTGGGTAAAACAAAGTTGACACATCAACCAACCTCATCTCAAAGAGCAAGCAGGGCATTCAATACTGAACATGATACAAGGGCTCAGGGTAGGCAATTTCTTTGCAAATTACATCATCTGTGAGTGATGCTACAAGAGACTTCTCTTTAATATGTTTTAGATGTGATTCCCTTAGCCTCAATGTTTCCTGAATAAATAGCTTAGCTTAAGCTTCTGCATTCCCTGAATAAATAGCTTAAGCTTCTGTAATCTTCCTTTGTAACCCATCCCTTTTAAGAAGCTTTATTTTTGGGCTGTCAATTAATTGGAATTAACTTCAGTAGCTAATATTATTTTTCTGTGGTCTTTTTGGGTATGTATCAATCACAGATGTTGTGTCATGCTTCAGAAGTGCAACTTAATTGAACGCTACAGAGGAATGCTAGAAAGAAAGGAATACAAGGATATCTTGATAATATCTTGATAACATTGATGGCTAGTTTTGTTGAGTAGCATGTTTCTATGCTCTAAGTGTGATGGAACCCTAACCAAGTTAGTCTCTTCATTAGTTCAATAGATCTCTGTGTGGAGTTAGAGTGGTTACAGCTGAGGAGACAAAAACTAAGTCTTCATAGCTCGGCTGGGAATCTGTTGGACAACTCTGTAGTTTAGTTCAATTAGTATAACAGAATGAGCTCCAGAATGGGACATCCACCAAACCTTCACAACTCATCACATGACCAATATCACACTATTGATTTATGACCAGAGTCTGCTTTCTGAGCAGTTTGTCTGCTTTTATTTTAACGTAATTTGACAAACATTTATTAAATCTTAAAGCCCATTGTGTCTCTCTTGGCTCTTTGACAGACCCATTCTGTTAGTCTCAATTCTCTGCTTATAACTCATGACCTGCATTTATTTTTTCCTTTCGAGATCTATCTATCCCCATCCCTTTTCGAGAGTTATTGTTGAATCCGCATCCACCACTCTTTCCATGTGTTCTATCACAGCAACTCACTGAGTTAAATCATTTCCCACTCTGGTTCTTTTACTAATCAACCTGAACTGAAACTGTTGGAAATATTCAGACAAAAAATGCCAAGAAATGACATGGTGCCAGATACACCACATTTAAATTTATTGACGCTTAGACCAAAGACATAGAAACAGAGTTAGACCATTCAGCCCATCAGCACTCCTCTACCATTCACTGCCTTTTCACAACAGCCTATGATTCCCTTACTGATTAAAAATCTGTCTGTCTCACCCTTGAATATATTCAATGACCCAGCCTCGACAGCTCTCTGTGGGAAAGAATTCACAAGTCTGTGATATAAGAAATTACTCCTCATTTTTGTAAGTGGGTGACCTCTTCCTCTGAGATTATGCCCTCTGATTCTAGACTCTCTCACAAGGGGAAGCTACCTGTTAGCAATTGTCTTGTCAAGTCCCCTAAGAACCTTAAATGTTTCAATAAGGTCATCTCTAATTCTACTGAACTCCAGCGAGTAGGTGCCCAACCTACTCAGCCTCTCCTCATTAGACAATATCTCCATGCCCAGAATAAACCTAGTGAACTACCTCTGAGCTGCCTCCAATGCCAGTATATCTTTCCTTAGGTAAGGGGACCCAAAACTGTTCACAGTATTCCAACTGTGATAGTCTAACTAGTGCCTTTTATCCATAATGTGGTGACAGAACACTTTCCACCATATCTTTCTATATATAAGTAATTTTTTATCTTAATCTTTCTGTAGACAATAAATAAATAACACATAACTCATAATAACTCATAACAAACAGGGAGAGATAAGAAATTCTGAAAACGAAAGAATAAGACTTCACGGAAGTAAGAATTAAATTGAATTAGAGTTATCCTTTGCTGTCACATATGCTCAATGAGTACAGCGAAAAGTATACGTCGCCACTTACCGCACCACTTAGGTACAAAGATACCCAGGTACAGCTTCTTTACTTACAAGATCTTAGAAAATGGAGAAATAGAATGGCCAGCATTGCGGAAATAAAAGTTCAGAACAATTGTCTTCCCACGCAGACCACACTGGGGCCCAGCCTCCAGCCGTGCCAGGTCCTGGCTCCAGACCACACTAGCACCCTGCCTCCAGCCCACACCAGGCCCTGGCTCCAGACCACACTG